TTGGCATAATGGCTATGTCGCTGGACTCCCATGTAGTCAACCGCAGTTCGAGTCCTGCACCCAGTGGCTTAAACTCATTTCAGGCATGTGTGCATGTGTGCTCAAGATCCCAAGAGGAGAATAGAGGAGAAGGAATTGTGGTGCCAACCCCCTGGGGGGTGATTTCTCGCTTTCTGTCTCTCTGTCTCTCTCATCTTTCTGGTGAGCACAAGCACCCCATGGCAAAAACCTCTCAAAAAAAGAAAGAAAGAAAGAAAGAAAGAAAGAAAGAAAGAAAGAAAGAAAGAAAGAAAGAAAGAAAGAGTTTAACCTAGTGCCTGGTGGTTTCCCTGTGTGTGTGCTCTGGCACAGATGAGACAGTGCCCACGTCCCATCATTTTTTTTGAGGAGTCTATCTTTCCTTCCGCTTTAGGCTATTTAGTTGTGATTTTTTTTAATTAATTAATTTATTTAAATGTATTCATTCGTTTGTTTTTAGTTTGACTAGAGAGACACACAGCAAGAAAGAGGGAAAGTGAGAAAGCAAGTCACCAGGTCCAGGACTTGAACCATGGTTGACCATGTGGGAGTGTCCAGCACCTTAACCACCACGCCACCTGCTGGTCCCCTAGTTGTGATTTTTCAACCGACTTTGACAGCTCAATATAGCACTTAATCATATAATAGGTGACCTATTTTTCCCCATTGATCATCATATATTGCTTTCAATTTTCTAAGATTAGTTATCATTATCTTAAATTTTAAGGAAAAATTTAATGAAGAAAAATATTTCTTTAAAGTGAACTAAATATATCACTTTATATAATATCCTTGTTCCTGGATTCACTCCAAATAAATGGATTTAAAAGTTGTCTCTTGTTGGTATCAAAAACAGTTAACTTACACAACAAAAGATGCAGTAAAAGTTAACTTGCATGGTAAAAGAAAATAGTAGAAATGGTTCATTAAAATCACTTGTTTAAAAAGTTGCTTTTGGGACTGGCAGGTAGCATGGTGGTTAAAGTGCTGGACTCTCATGAGGCCAGTTGTGGTTTGAGTACTGGACCGCATGGCTTGCTTTCTGACTTTCCCTTTCTTTCTCTCCCTGATAAAATTAAAAAAAATAAATAAATAAAATAAAACAAATAATTATTTTTTAAAAAGTTGATTTCACTATAAACTATCGGATACATTAATCAGTATGTAGAACCAGTGCCACTGTAGTCAAAAATTTACCCAATGTATTTAATATCAAATGAAGGGGTTTTAATACTAAAAATAAAGACTCTGAAGATATCATGTTAGAAAAGTCTATTTAATTTTTCTCACTTATATTAAAATCTAAAGGTAATAATCAAGGGACCAAAAAGGAAATGCAAAACCAAGCCTCTTATAGATTTCTCAGCAGCCAAGTGCAGTATGTATTACCATATCTTCAGTTAATTTTTAATGGGTCATCACGAAAAGAACTGTTACTGCTAATAAACTGCTGATTTCTTTATACATACATGCTAAACTACTATGCATTTCAAAGTGGAATACTGTACACAATACTTCCCTCTGAAATAGCCGAAATTTGGGGTTCAAGAAGCATTCAGCTGCCAGAAAAGATGTGGTTTTGATTCCCTCGTGATAAAGTGAATTTCCTTCATTATCTTCAAGGCCTCTGTGTATGAGAGATAGGACTGAATTCCTTCAAGGTCACCCAAAGTCCTGAGAGCTCTGGAGGATTATTTTGGCACTGACTTTCCTGTTCTTTGAAACATCTGGCAATGTCTCAGAGTTTCAGCAGAGAAAAAAATAAAACCCTTAAGATCTAAGCGAAAAAGGTCAGAATGGACTGTTTGCCAAGGCGATCATATTCATTCAAGAAATATTCAGCATGAAGATCTGTATCAATTATAGAGGAAAAGATTTGACTTCTTAAAATGCTCTATTTATAGCTCACTGGACAATTATTTGTGTTAGTCAAGGCTGGTATGTTTGCTTTCTTAACTTTTGTATAAGATGTAAAATTAAATGCAAAAGGTTTTAAACATATTAAGTCTAACTGCTTAAATCCTTTCTTATTTATGTATTTTTATTGCCAGTGGCTAAGCAATGTGGGAGATGGATCCCGCGTAGCCAACAGTGATTCAAGCCCTGGCTCCTGTGGCTTAAAATACACTCTAAGCCAAAGCATGTGCCTGAGTGCCCCAAATTCTGAAGAAATGGAGAAATTGAGAAAAGAATGATTGTGGCATAGCCACCACCACTCCCAGCTGAGTGGTGCTTTTTCTCTCTTTCTTTGGTAAGTATATGTATCATATGGCAGTAGGAGGGGAAGAAAAAGAGAAGGTGCAATCCTTTTTCTCTCCAGTTCTCTATCCCAGCAGGATTTGAGGCATGCGTGCACACGTGTGGTGTTTTTCAAGGCTGCCAGGTCCAGATTTTGGACTGCACAGACATGTGGATTCTGGCTTTCTTTTTTTGCTACACGGCACACGCACCTACCAGAGACAGAAGACAAAGAGGGAGAGGAGAAAGCACCATTAATAAGGAAGGTCACTCAGCAATCCCTTTTTCTCCATCTCTTTTTGGGATTCTGGGCAAGCATGTACATGAACCCAGTGTGTTTCACAAACTGCCAGGTCTGGGATTTAACTGCACTGTCAGCCAAGGATCCAGGGATCTGAATTTCTATGCATAGCATTTAACCACTGCACTACGGGGCTGGCCCTGTTGTAAACCCTTTCTAAATAAAACTTCCTCTTACAACCTAACTCTTTGGTATCTTTCATTTTTCCTATGACTTTCACTGACTTCTTAAATGTCACACAGGCATTTTTAAATGTAATTATTGCCATCCTTGAGTCAGACATGTATATATGTGAAATTGAAAACATCATGTTTCTAAAAAGAGAAAATCTTAAACTCTTAGGAAATGTATTTTCCTATCACTTGAGAAAAAAATATATTGTTTTATTAGATACAGTATCCCCTAAGGAAATAAAATGCATTTATAATTTTTAAAAATTATTTTTATAAACTAAATGAACTATCATTGACCATGAATATTAACAGTATTCAGTAAGACATCAAGTTGGTCCTATTATTATCTTATAAAAATTCATTTGCTTATATCTATATACTATCATGACTAATTTTTATATTGATGAAAATAATTTTATAGGCAATTTTCCATAATACTCTAAAATGTAATATTAACAGTATTGTGCTATGGTTAAGTTTTTTAAAAAATGGCCAGGAGGGTAAAGTTCTAGAAGTTGGATCAAGAGAGAAACAGAAAATGAATTAAAGAGTAAAACCCTAGACCTTATATGGCATAATCTTTTTATTTTTGTAGAGGTTTTTGCTATAGAGTACATGCGCTCGCCAGAAAGACAGAGAGATAAAAAGCGAGAAATCACCCACCACGGGGGATGGCCACGCCGCAATCCCTTTTCTTCCACTCTCCTCTGGGGATCTTGGGCACGCATGCACACGCACCCAGCGTGAGTTTAAGCCACCAGGCCCAGGACTTGAATTGCGGTTGACTACATGGGAGTTCAGTGACATAGCCATTACACTAACTGCTGGTCCTGTATGGCATAATCTTAATAACTGTTTTGAGTATTGACTTAGGTCCTTCCCAAAACACCAAATGCACAGTTACACTTGGCAATTACGTTGGCATTCAATAATACTCACTCAACTAAATATTGTTTGAAAATTAAATAAAGATCACAGTTATAAAAGCTTATTGAAACATTACACCACTCATAAAAGTCCTAATACTTCTTCCTGGGTTAGGGACAGAAAGTTTTATTTTTTAAATTTTTGCTAGGAGATTCATGTGCTCACCAGAGAGAGACAGAGAAAGAGAGTGTGAGAAATTACCCCCTAGGGTGGATGACAATGCCACCGTCTCTTTTCCTTCATTCTCCTTTTGGGATTTTGATGTGTGTATATATCCATACCTGGCTTGTTTTTCAAGCCGCTGGGTTTGGGACATGAACCACTAACTCCGTCATATGGGATTCAGTGCCTAAACCACCATGCCACAAGTTGCCCCAAAGGACAGAAAGTTTTTAAACAGATGAGATATTAATTTGTATTGTCAATTTTCAGAATTTGGATTATATAAACTGTAAATGACTAACAAGCAAGAAGACAAAGCACAAGGTCAGTAGCCTTGCAAAATATAAAAAGAACATCAAAATGCTTTAGTCCTGACTATGAAATTAAAGTTCAAAGATACAATTTTGTAAACAATAGTATAGAAAAGTTAGTTCTCAAGGGACCAGCAGTTGGCATAAATGGCTATGTTGCTGGACTCCCATGTAGTCGACTGCAGTTCGAGTCCCAGACCCAGTGGCTTAGACTCATGCCAGATGCATGTATGTGCATGCCCAAGATCCCGAGAGGAGAATGGAGGAGCAGGGACTGCACCGTGGCCATCCACCCTGAGGGGTGATTTCGTGCTTTCTATCTCTCTGTCTTTCTGGTGAGCACACGTGCCCTACAGCGAAAACCTCTCCAAAAAAAAAAAAGAAAAGTTAGTTCTTAAGATAGCATGGAACATAAGAACCATTATTTTTTTAGTTATACTTCTTGGTTGGCATCACCATACAACAATGTGCCTTTACAAAGCACAGTAACAACTAGAATTTCTACCTTTAGCATATTAAAATTTAAAACAAACAACTATGATATAGATCTAGATCTGAATTATAGGTGAAAAAAGACATTCAACTATACAAGAACAAAAAGGTAATACTAAAAAACAAAACAAAATAAAGCAAAACAAACCCTAACTAAGAGTTTTACAAATCCATGAGGAATAGCATTTATGGTAAAAAGAACTAACAGATTTATAGCAAGTATGATACTAAATTCTTTCTTCAAATGGCCTAAAAAAAACCAAAAACCCTAGAGACAAGAGTAAGATATATAGAAAAATATAAAATCCTCATTATGTATTTATTCAATATCAAGTCAAGCATCAAATGTTTACACTGTCACATGAAAACAAATCTCACCTTGTTGCTGTGAAAGTGAAACGTCTGGTTTACTTCTTACACATATGAGACGACTTTGTACTGGCTTGTGTTCAACCTGCTCAACATCCTGGCCTTGCTTTTGCTGGCACTAAAGAATTTAAGACACCAAAGTCATAGTGTTATTTTTAAAGTTACTTAAAAAACTGTAAGTAGTAAAATTATTCAAGTGTTTGTTATATCAAATTATAGAAATTATATAAAATTTTCATAATTTGCTTGCTTTTGAATTGTTTTTGTCATTTATATTTATTAGTACATGAGTAATAGACTATGTATTACAAAAGAAGATACTGTCAAAAACTGTAAGATTTAGATAAAATATGGAATTCAAATATTCAAGTCATTTCTATCAATTTTTATTAGAGACTTTAGAGCTACTTATAAATCATAGTATTCTGGATTCACACGCACATGATGGATTTAGACAGGATAAGAACTTAATTTAGCTGTAAGCTCTCCCATATAACCATTTTTGCATAAAATGAAAATTAGCATAATGCACTGCAATTTTCAAAGAGCTTTTATATATAGTAACATCATTTTAGTCTCACAAGTGTGAGTAGGTATTGTTATCCCCTGCTTGTCATTCAGGAAACGTATACTCCACTATAAGCCCCATCATCCCTCTTCCTTACCTATACCCTACCGAAATTTAAAATTTACAATAGTCACAAATCTCTTCATAATCACACATCACAAGTTGGGATGACTTTAGCCATTGTCTTTCTTCCCTTCCTGTTCTATTTGTTTAATTATATTACGAAGGTGTACCTGAAAACTGTCAGATACACTTTAATGGGAACTTAAATAGGTATTTCTGGGCCCTTCGCAATAGAGTAAATATTAATACAACTAAAGAAGAATCTGAAATACCTGTCCATACAGACTCAACTGTAACCACTCCACATCTGTCTGGCCCTTCTTAATCAAAGAAGATGGGTTTGACCATGGTTCAAACCCAGGTAAAAATGAGTGGCTTCAGACAGTAGTAATAAACAAGTAGTCTTAACTCCGGTCTTCCAAGTTTAGAACCATTAGTCATATAGGTTTCTACCCTGAAAATATTTGGGTGTGTATTTCTAAGGTGGGTACTCTGATGCACTGGCTCTGGCTTCAACATTTAGAAAATCCCCATTTGTTTCCTTCCTTAACCTCAGTGAAAAAGAGCTGTGTATTACGCAGCTAAACTGCCTGATCATATTAATAATAGCTATCTCATTAAGTTGTAAGAATTAAACGAGTTAAAATACATAAAGGACTTCGAATAGCACTGGCAGAGTAAGCACTACAAATAAGCATGAGCTATTTCTATCGATAACCATATTTCCCTGTAAGCTACAGAAATCTGACAAAGGAATTTTTTCTGGGAGTACTTGTTGAGCTTATTGTTCTGGGAGCACTTCATGGTTCTATTTAAAAACAGGTCAACAATTAAAGGAAAGCAGTCTTTTTTAAAAAAATAAATTTATTGAGGTATGAGTAACAGACAGTAAACTGCACATAAAGTGTACAATTAGCTAAGTTTTGACATACATATATACCTATGAAGCCACTGTCACAACACTTGCACTCACTTCCCTCCCACCTCCATCCCCTACAGTCCCTGCCCCAGAATTGAAATACTTTTTTACAACAGTTGGCATTTTCTAGAATTTTAAATAAATGGAATCAGAGTATGCATCATTTTGTTGTTATTGTTGGTTTTTGGTCTGGCTGGTTCCTTTTACTGGATGTAATTTTCCTAAGAATCATCTAGGGGCCAGCAGGTGATATGGTGGTTAAAGTGGTAGAATCCCCCATGACTGACCACAGTTTGAGTCCTGGACCTGGCAGCTTGAAAATCATGCCAGGCACATGTGCATGTGTGCCCAAAAATCCCAAAAGGAGAATAGAGGAAAAGGACTGTAACATGGCCATCCCTCCTGGGGAGTGATGGAGTGATTTCTCACTTTCCCTCTCACTGTTTCTCTCAGAGAGCAAATGTTTCCTATGGCAAAAAAAAAAAAAAAAAAATACATATATACATATACACATACACACACACACACACACACACACACACATATGTTATAGTAAGTATTAACAGTTCGTGCCTTTTTATTGCTGAGTAGTATACACCAAAATTTGTCCATTCAACAGTTGGTGGATATTTGTGTTGTCTCTAGTTTTGGGCTACTACAAATATAATGCTGTGCAAATGTGAAAATACACGTACAAGTGTGTAGAGCACAAGTTTTTGTTTCTCTTGAAAAATGGGAGTGAAAAGTATGGGTTATATGGTAGGTATGTGTTTCTTTTTTTTTTTTTTTAAGTTTGTTCCCTTTGAAATTTTTCTTTAATGTTTACATGAGAGTGAAAGACAAAGGGACAAGCACCTCAACAGTGTCTCACTACCACGATTCCGACTACTCCAGCCTTCCCAACCAGTTAAGATCATGGGTGCATGCACTTGGCCTGTAGAGGTAGATCCACGAATCAAACCCATAATTTTTGTACCACATAGATCCAGAATTATTTGAACAGCACATTTACTGCTGTGTCACCTCATTGGCCCTGTTTTACTTTTCAAGAAATTGGCAGAACTGGCAGGTGGCATGGTGGTTGAAGTGCTGGACTCCGACATGGCCAACCATGGTTCAAACCCAGACCTGGAGGCTTGCTTTCTCATTTTCCCATTCTCTTTCTTGCTTTCTGTGTCTCTCATGTGACTATAGTCAAATAATAGTGTTGATAACAATAATAAATTAAATTAAATAATTCTTTAACAAAAAAAGAAAGAAAAAGAAATTGCCAAGTTGTCTTCCAATCAACAATGTATTAGAGCTCAGTTGCTCCACATCCTTGCCAACACTTGGTGCGACAGTCTTCTAAATTTTATATATTCTAGACCAGCCCATAGTCTAGTTGTTAAAAGAGCCAGATTCCACATGGTCAGCCATGGTTTGAATCATGGACCCCAGTAGCTTGAAAAACACACCAGGCATGTGTACAATTGTGCCCAAATCCTGGAGAAGTGGAGATGGGATTGCAGTGTGACCACATTCTATGGGAGAGAGGGGGTACTTTTTCAAAACCACTTTCTCTGTGTCTTTCTGGCAAATGTATGAGCCCTCTAGCAATTATAAAGAAAATTCAGATATTCTAATGAGTACATAGTGATATTGTGGCATTTTAGTTTATATTTTTCTAATGACGATATTGAGAATCTTTTTATGTGCTTATTCATATATAATTTCTCATCAACTTCCAATGGAATTCCCTGATAAGCCCACCATAAGTTGAAAATATTAAGTCGAAATATGTTTAGTAGACATCTACCCTACCAATCATTATGACTTCGCCTAGCCTACCTTAAATGTGCTCAGAACATCTATACTGGCCTATAGTTGGAGATAAATCACCGAATGCAAAGCCTATGTTACAATAAAGTGCTGCTATCTCACGTTAACTTACTGAGTACTGTACTGAAAGTGAAAACCAGAATAGCTTGCTGCTGCTGACCAGCATCATGAGTTTATCATATTGCATAGTTAGCCCAGAAAGAGATAAAAATTCAAAATATGAGCACAGTTTCTGTTAAATACATTGCTTTTACATCATTGTGAAATTAAGTCAAACCATTGTTAAGTCGGGGACCATTTTATATCTTCCTTGGGTGAAATATCTGTCCAAATCTCCTCCCACCCTATAGGATGTATGTGCTTGCCAGAGAGAGAGAGAGAGAGAGTGAGTGAGAAACCACCCCTCAGGGTGGATGGCCATACTGCAGTCCCTTCTCCACTGTCCTCAGGATTTGGGGCACATGAGATTGACGAGCATTTCAAGCCACTGATTCTGGGACTCAGTTCTGGAGTCGATTATGTGGGATTCCTAGTGCCTCAGCCACATGCTACTTGTTGGCCTTCTTTTGTTTATTTAAAAAAAAAATTTTGCTGGGAGAGAGAGTGGCGGGGAGGAGAGAGAATGAAAGTAAGACCACCACCCCAACCCTCCCAGGAATTGGTCATGCTGCATCCCTTCTCCTCTGTTTCTACCTCCTCTTGTAATTTTTGAGTATGTGTGCACACACACTCCTGGCAAGTTTTTTAAGCCATCAGGTCTGGAACTTGAACTGTGTAGTTGGCCATGTGGAATCCAACACCTTAACAACTATATCACCAGTGGCCCACTTCTGTTCATTTTCACCAGAAACACAAACAGACAGAGAGACAGAAAGTGAGAAATCACCCCCCACACACACACCCCGGGGGGGATGGCCACGTTGCAATTCCTTCCCTTCCATTCTCCTCTTGGGATCTTGGGCACACACGCACATGCGCCCAGCGTGAGTTTAAGCCACTGGGTCCAAGAGTCGAACCACAGTCGACTACATGAAGTCCAGCGACATAGCCATTATGCCACCTGCTGGTCCTGTCTGGGTAAGTCTTTTATCAGACACGAGATTTGCAAATATTTTCTCCTAGTCTGTGGATTATCTTTTCATTCTCTGAACAGTCTGTTTGGAAGAGCTGAAGTTCTTATTTTTGATAAGACAATTTTTATTTTTTTTTCATGGATAGTGCTTTTGGCTCATGTCCCCAAAATTTTTATCTAATTCATGGTCACAAAACTTTTTCTTTTTAATATGGAAGCTATTAACAAATATTTATTCCTTATTAACTAGTTTTCCCTGGTCTTTGCTTGGTCATAAATTGGTAATACTGAACCTTATATAATGGTGTGTTCCATTGACAGTATTTATTGCATATATTTTTGTTTTCCTCCTTAACACTGTGCAATGCTGCACAATACTATGCAATGGATACTTATCTTATAAATTAATCTATAATGAGAAATAAAGGGCTAGTACAAAAAATCCAAAACTGTGCTGAATAACATGAGCTTTTGGGTTAACATCTTAGAAAGCACTTACTCTATCTTTTCAGGACCCAAGATTGCGTGAGTCATTGGCTTCACTTGGTGTGAAATTTATTATACTTTAACAGAACATATTTTATGAATTCCAATGTAATAAACATCTGTTGAGTTCCTACTATGTGCAATTACTGAGCTAAGTATTACATGGAAATTCAGAAATGTAAAATGTTA